ATGTTTGTGTGTGGGCCTTTATTTGGAACAACTTCAGCATTCTGGAAAACAAGTAGACTTCAGTCTGTAAGACTTCTATCAATCCATCATGATCTGTGATTGGTTGCAGTGAACGTGATACTAGCCAGACTCATATCCTATAATATTCTGGACCTTGGCCTAACCCAGTGTTGGGCTGGTCTTAGTGGACCATGTGCTCAGGATTCAAGGCAGTTTGGAAGCTTTGGAAGCCATTTGAGTGAAATAGGAGTCTGGCGCTGGTCCACCCATGAAGACCCTACCCAGAGCTGTGCAGCATCCTGTACTGTCTGACCTCAAGCCAGTAAGGATGCCTGAGTTCTAGCCCTGCCCTTGGAATGTTACTGGGAAAGACTATTAAAGGGCTCTCCTTTTTTTTCTGATCAATATATAACCAATTATTTTTGATAGCCAATGATTTAGATTATTGTAGCACTGAAACAGAGACAACAAATCAACAAGCGACTCCTGGAAAATCAGAGCTTGGGTACGATCCAGTGTGGAAATAGCAAAAGGAACTGTAGACTCAAAGAAAATAAGCCACCTCCTTACAATTTCTGGAAAGATGGGGGCAGAAGTGCCACATTTGAAAGACTAGAATAAACTCTGGATTCCTGTTTCTAGATGTTGCAAGCTCCAAAATATAAGTAACTGAAGAATCCATGAGCTCAAAATAAGATTTGTAACACTGGGTAGTAATCATTAAGGGGGTACTTTTATTTAGAGTATTTAAAATGGCTAAAATAGACGTAGTGATTCAATTATCCTGAAGGAAAAAAAATGTTTAAACATTCAAATTGAAAAACTAAAGTCAGTGAGGGGAGCAATTAAATTAATTCCGTACAAATTATTGAATTGAAAAATAGTGAAATTAAAAATGAGATAAAATGAATCAACAGCAGGACAAATCAGAGAGAATTATTATTGAATTTAAAGGCAGGGTGTTTGAAAACTGTGGCAGTGACCTTGGTACATGCCACTTGGTACATGGAGGAGCCATTAGATAAAGAATAATGAATAAATTATTAAAAATACAAGAATTTGGAGGCAGTATTACAGCAAGAATTATTGATGTTAGTGTGAATAGAGAGTGCCAGTGGTTTATAAATTTTATTCAAGTAAAGAATAACAGGAAAGCTAGAAAAGCTGATGGATATGCAGGAACAAAATTCATTCTCTTTGGCCTTCTACCACAAGCATCTCCTGGCTAGCCCTTGGTTCCTTCTGTGCCTGACTACCTTGCATGTAGCCCTGTTAATCAGTAGGTGGAAAGCTAGACCAACCAGCAGGCAATAATGCTGAAATTCTGTGAGACCTCTGGCTGCATGTGGAAGAACACCAACAACATTAGATTTCACCAGTGTTTCCCTCTCCTTTACCTCCACTATAGAGCACTTCATGAATTTGCTTGTCATCTTTGTGCAGGGGCTGTGCAAATCATTTCTGTATAGTTACAATTTTAGTGTATGTTCTGGGAAAGCAAGCAGAAATCTTACCAGTTACTTGACCAATAAACAATAATACACACAGAAAACAAAATAATTGAGTGACAAAATCAGGACTCTAGGGACTGCCGTTACAGAAGCCTAGAGCTTTGTTCACAGCACTCTTGTCATGCAGCCCACCACAACACATAATTCTAGTTCCAGGGAATCTGACCTGCTCTTCTGGAAACCCCAGGGACTGTACCCATGTGCACATACAGACAAATAAATAACAAGAATAAAAGAAATACTTAAAATAAATGGGGATACTGAAACTGGGTGAAAAAGGACAAAACTCCTGAACAAGAACATGAAATGAAGAGTAGTGGTCAGAACTCCAATTCAGAAGGCATAAGATCAGGATGGAAGCATTTTATTTTCAACTCTTGAAGAGAGGGGAAACAACATACTTAAACTCTTTATTTGAAATTGTAATTCTTATGGGAAAACAAAATGCAGCGCTGGATAGACTGGTCTCTGCAATCATAATTTTCAGGCACAGTTGGAATGTCAGGCACACTTTGGTGAAGAGGTCTTGAGAAAGCTCTTTGAGGGCACAGTAGTTGACAGGTTGTTCTGTTCTAGAACATAGCAGAAACATGTTAGAGACCTATAAGAGCAGCATTCATTCAGGAAAAAAAATGCTTAGGGAAGTGAAAGACATGCTCTTTCTTACATTATCAGAGTGGAAAAAGAAAATTAACTCCTTCAAGTTCCTCTCTCACTTCTGCATGTATGCTGTGGCACACATATATGCCCCAATACACACAAATAAATGAATAAATGTAATTTTAAAAATCCACATTCAATATATTGATGGTCATTGTAGAATCAAGTCTACTGAAAACAACATTTTCGGTAGACAGTTTAAGAATACAAATTCCCAGCAAATTCTGATTTTCATTGACTGCATACTATCAGGAACACAAATGGCTTTAGGTAGCAAGGGGGAAAACTTTGGCAAAAGTATAGGTCCTAACAGTAACTCAGACCATCATTGTCCCTCTCTTTGTGTTCTGTATGCCCAGGCTGAAATTTAAATGCTGTATCTAGGCCAAGCAATCTTTCACATAAGAATTCCCAGTCCTGGGAACATGAAGTTTGTTCTGAAAACACTTGTATTGAGAGTATTTCACAGAAGTGCTATATAGTATATTCATTCAAGAAAAAAATTCCACATACAAAACTCATCAGTGTTTGTCAATTTCAGGGGCACAATATATGAAACAGAAATTTAAAAATCTATCCCATTTAAAATAGACACCAAAGGCAGGAGTAAAATAATCTAAGAAATCAATAATATCTACAATGTAAATT